GCTGCGGCTGTGATCGAGCCGCCCTGCGGTTGTGTGCTTGTTGTGTCTGCCGATCTTATGATTCCCCCTCGCCGCAACACATCGATGCTGCTTGCTGCCGCAGATTGCGCAGGACAAGTTTGGCAAGAGGTGAGTGGGGATGGATCACGTTGGGAGTTGAGTGGGGGCAGCAGCGGTTCAAAGGCAGTTCGGCCTCCAGCTTAATGTGTGAGATTCTTCAGCCATGCAATGAATAGAGTGACGAAAAATGTGTGCCATGCACATAATTGTGGCCACGTACGGCGTGCAGTCAGTGTTTAGAACGAATACTGGTTGTTTATTGGGCTCACTCATGCTTACACATAATTCAAATTCTATTCCTCATCTTGCCAGCTATGACGAGCTGTCAGCGCATGAGCGAATTGTGGTGGGTGACCGGTGTAGTATACCCTGACACTGCTCTGAGATGTTAAGGGTTGCCGCCGATCGCGATCATGTAGCGTTGCGAATGGTATTGTGTTGTTCAACCATTGTGCTGTTGCCAAAGTCCTGAGGGTATGGACATTCTCATCAGGTGCACTACCACGCACCAACCCTGCTTTTCCCAGGTGGGTGGAACCAAGGGTGGCATCACTACCAAGGATGGAGAGTATGGTGGTCACTACCAGAACGAGGGTGAGAGGGGAAATAACGAGTGTAAACTTCACTATGTTGATATCAACACCTGTTTGTAATATGTTGATATCAACACCTGTTTGCAACTCCAATGGGACATTGTCCAATGCCACATCTTCAAATAATGTTGGTTTATGATCAAGGTCATATCAACAGTGTGCACCCCATCAACTATTTCCTTGACAGGTACCAAGTCCAACGTGGACAACACTGGTGAAGCAGCGAGGTAGAGTGGGTATGCACTGACTGTGTGCACCACTTTTAAATGTTGTACTCCTCGCACAACTGTGCTACCGCATATGATTGTACAGTTGAATGCTGTACAGGGGAGTGGACATGTGGCAATGATCTTGTGATTGTGTGGTTTGAAAAGGGGAGTATAATTGACATGGACATATTTGGTGTAACATGTCACATGTATAATACTACGGTTGGATCAGGTCAGGCGTTGTAATGCAGCAGTTGGCAAAAGATAATGTAAGATTGTAAATGAATATTGACTTGACCAGCTGGACAAATGAATATTGACTTGACCAGCTGGGCAAAGCAAACCTTCCTCCTATCTCACTATGTAACAAAACATATGTACATCTTGACATAACAAATATCAAACAAGCTGCACACAATATGTTTGGGTTGAATACATGATTGTATTGCCTGTTACACTTGTGACCGTGGATGTTAAGCAGCAAAAACACAGTCACATGCGTCCAGTGGTTTTTCAACAATCCATTATGGTGAACACAGGTTGTAAACAAGTGATACAAAAATATCCTCAACAATAATAGTGGAAAGGTGTGTGGTACAGATATAATTCACTGTCGCCTTGCGTGTTACAATTTCGCTGCATATGCTGGTGTTAGTGGCCAAGGAGTGAGTGGCGTGTGTGACAAGCGCCACCCAACCATTGAGAGCAAAGGGATGTCCATGTGATTGCTCACCCTGGACGCGTCTGTGACAGCGGGCAAGTGCTTGCGTGCAACAGTTGCTTTCGGCGGCCCTAGGTAGTTATCATACTCTCCACTGCAGGCAGGTTGAGGTGCTTGAACAGGGTCTTGTTTTTCCCTTTGGATGCCCCTATCTAGATTGGCCACAACCTTCATCAATACTATTATGCCATCTCAAGTCATCAGTACAAGCCAGTATGCGGATAATCCATAAAAGCATGGTTGTTACTCTGGTGTGGCCTACATTGTGCAGAGGGCACAATATACAAGGCCGTACAGCTTGCCTGGGGGTTGCTTCCACAGACGGCGGAAGACACGCACCAGGAAGGCTTACTGTCAAGGGCGCAATCGGGCCCGCCAGCGGCCTTGATTTCGCCCTTGACAGTGATCAAGGGGGCTGCCAAATCAATGCTGGTTGTGCCAGCGAATGTACGTAAATGTGAGAGGACGAGGGAATCTATATTTAAAAGTATGATTTGCTCCCTCCTCTCACAGCAGGCTGCATGCATGATGTCGGATCTGGATAGCAACACTGCTGTGCTGCGCATCTGATGAACCACAACAGTGCGTAACATCTGCATCAACCAGCTGCAACCACTTTCAAGCAAACTATCAACACCAACGTTGGGTTTGGCCTTGCAGCCATGCAGGACAGTCGGTCACTGCCATAGCTGCCACGTGGCAGCCTGACCCCAGGCAGCTCAATATGTAGCAGGATAACTATCCTGATATATCGGGCGTCTTAAATGTACTTGGTGACCGTAGTCATGCTCATGGGCAGGAGCACGTTGTCAATACCGTGGGCAATACCGGCACCACACCTGGTAATAAGGATGACGTCAGCAGGCGGTTTTGGTATGCGCGGGCGTATGTCGGCGTCAGGAGTAGGGCGAGGGGGCGTGCTGAAGAAGGGGTCGGGGGCGTCGCTGACACATACAGGCGGCTGGTGTGACAAATCGGAACGAGACAGTAAAGCGTGCAACCTGTGGGGCACGAGCACGTGCAGAAAACAAGCGCGGGCCAGCAACGGCATGCTCACTGGATGTTGGGCATGTAGGTGTAGGCGCTGGTGCCCACAGACTTGATGAGCGCCTTGGTGCCCACGACAGCACCGACTGACAGCTGGTATGCCTTCTTGGTAGTTGCAGACATGTACCTATATTTGATTATGGGAAGAAAATATTAGCCAAAAATGACATGCCCGTTGGTCGGTGTCAACGAGTACGCAGCTGCACACGCATGCGTGACGGCACTGTGGCGTGCGCTGCCTCCTGCTGTGCAGAGCTTGGGGGCGTGCACGCCCCCAAGCAAGCACATTCAAGGCGCTGGGCTGTCGGGGGCAGCTGAGGAGGGCCATGCTGCCATCCGCTCCCCCCCCTCTATCTTGCTCACATGGTGTCAAGAAGCATGCCCGCCTTCATGCTCCAGGTTGGCAAGACGGCCTTCTGGCCGCTTGGGCCCGTGACAAAATGATAATACATGATTTGCCTTCCGAGGGCAGCGTTCTTTGTCATTGAGGTGGTGAGGGCCGTGGGGGAAAGCTTCACCCTGGCTGCCATGGTTGTGAAAGCCTGGTGAGGAGAGAGGGGGGGGCGGGTGGGCGCAGCAGCGGTGGGTCCAAAGGGGGCCGGGGCGGTGACAGGTAGGTGGAGGTGAGACCAGGGCATGACACGCCCTTGTAAAGCACGGAAACGCAGATTCGGTGGTTGTTTGTTCAAGGGAGTTGACAAGGGGTGAGGCAAGGGGGGATGGAGAGGGTGTGATCAACTGGCCCGAGCACAGGGCCTGTCGGTGCACCTTCTGGGGAGCAGCTGCTGCATGCGGTGCAGCTGCACTCCGCAGCAGCAACCCCCTCCGCGGTCCGCAAACATCCACCCTGCCACATGCAGCCGCATGCACTCGGCTTGAATGTTAATCGCCTGCCTCCTTGCAATCTCATGAGCGTGCCCTCGCGCGCAGGCCGTCCGCTGGCTCGGGCCTGCGGTCAACACACATGCAGCGAGCGGGGGCGGCGCTCACCGCGTTGGAGGGAACGAATATCGTAAGGGCCAGCTTGGGGTTGCTCATGGTGGCCTTGAGGCCGATGGTGTCGATGATTTGTTTGCAGGTCGACGCATCGCTGGTGGCGGTCACGGCGGCGTAAAAAGACGTGTAGCTCTTTGCATAGGCGTCGGCTGTGGTGGATGCGGGG